GAGTGCTTGTATGAGGCTAATTACATGGATCGCCAAGCTTGGCTATGGTGTCAGAGCTCTCCTATGCATTGATGATACTCGCAAAGACAGCACTGACGTCGACCCGACTTGGGCGGAGGTCATGTCGAATGCTCTCATTGTGGACGATACTACGGAGTGGAGAGGTATGTATTCCCGGTGTTTGAGTGTTATACAACAAAATCGGAACCTAACAGTATATAGAATGCATTGAAAGCCTGCGTTTCGATGGCATGCACCAAAGGCGAGACCAGGTCGCAGATCCGCTGCCTGCCACCAACCAGTGGCTCTGGGAAACTGAAGAATTCCAGGAGTGGAAATCTTCTGGTAAAATCTTGTGGATAATGGGTAAAGCGGGAAGCGGCAAATCGGTTCTGGCGAAGAACATCCAACAACGTCTTCAAAAGGATGTTCCAAATGGCGATCTCAATGACGACCCGTTCGTATGTGACTGGTTCTATTCAGCCCGAGGGCCTGATTTTGGCGCCAAAGATGCTTCAATGCTGCGCGCTCTTACTTTCAACATCCTCAGCTCAAGCAAGACGACTTTCGAACCTGCGACAGCTATCTATCGAGCAAGATTTGATGCTGGACGGCAGGATGACGCCTGGTTGCTGTCGGAGCTGTCAGACCTTCTCACGACACTCGCGCTCAGCCCTTCAACGCCCCGAACACTCGCAGTGATAGACGCGTTAGACGAGTCAGAGAGCGTGACAGGGCCATCAAGTCTCAAATCGACGAACAACAGTTTTGATTTGCTGCAGATGGTTACCGAGATTGCGAGTCCCCGGAAAAGCCGCCTCCGCTTCGTCCTGTTGAGCAGGCCTGAGTCCGTCATCTCCAAAAACCTGAACAATTGCCTAAAGATTAAGATGGAGCAGTACAACAACCGAGATATTTCCATCATGATTGAAGGCGGTATCAAGAAACTTCGAGTGGCCTGGCAGAATGCAGTCTCCCCCAACTCCGAAGACCATGACCCGACGGATTTCTACGAAGACTCCAACGTCTTAACTGACACTCAGTCTCAGAAGAGCCAGTCTTCCAATGACAACCTCAAGATACAGGAGGAAACACTGGGCGAGATACGCGCGTACTTAGAAATTAACGCAAATGGCGTGATGCTCTGGGTCATCTTAATTGTTCAACAACTTTTGCTCTTGATCGAAAACGAGAGGGGGTTTACAGTCCAGAAGCTGCTTGCCTCGCTTACTGCGTCACCGTCAGAGGTTGAAGAAATTTATATCAAATTTCTCGAAGACCTTAAAGTTTCCAGTACGCCCCAAGAACTGTCAGAGACCAAGAGAATTTTGGAATGGATTGTCGGGTCTCAAAGGGTGTCATCATTACGATTAAGAGAGTTGCGGGAAGTAATTGCGCTACCAGACCAGCTGGAGGTTGAGAAACATGGAGAATTCAGCCATCAACTCATCGCTTCACGCAGGATTGTGCTTGGAGAAAACGGCTGGCCAAACTTCTGTCGCATCATGCAGACGTACTGCGGTCCGTTGATAGAGATTTTGGATGATCGGCAAAGGGTTGGACTGGACTCACGGCAGAAGATCAGGCGCGCGGAATCAGATTGGACCATTCAGCTATCGCATCAAACAGTCCATGCGTTCCTACGGACGCCAGGCCGCAGCGGAGAATTTTACATTAACGCAGCAAGCGCCGAAGAAATGGTCACAAACCAATCCTACCGTTACCTTGGAATTCGTACCTCAACACCAAGACAGGCGTCCTACCGAAGCGCCGCAGAAGGTGAGAGGGACCCAATCCTGGTGCTGGAAGTGGCCTTGGCACCTTTGCTGCGAGATGTTAGCTTGCTGGCAACTCGAGAATACGCAAGGTCAAAGAAGCGGCCGCTTGTGGAGTTCGCCCTAGACGTCATCTTGAAGTCTTACTCAGACAACACGACCATCTTCCGAACATTAGGGAAGGCTGATACAGATGGCTTGACATCCAGAGACTGGATAGCTATTCATTGGCTTGCAGACCTGTGTTTCACCCCAGCTTTTCCGGGCACAAATCTGGAACCGTTTATCCTCAACTGCTGCGTACACGGGCAAACGGAGGCTTTGAAGGCTTTGCAATCACTAATAAATGAACATTCAGAAAAGTCCAACATAAGATCCATGGCAAGCGGAAGAGACAACGAAATCATTTTCGGCGCCGTGGGGGCTTTCTTGAGACTTCGAGAGAAACACGACACTTGTTTGAACGGAACTTTGGAGGCATTGCGTACTATCTGTGAGAGAAAACTTCACCAGATGTTAAAATACGCCAGTACTCATGTCGCATCAAACGCGTCGAGAGGCGAACTAGAACATCGGGGCGCTATTGAATACTTACAGATGGTTGTGCGTTACCTGTCGGCAGAATACCAACTACCAGAGGTTGTACAGCACTGTTGTAGTTTCGCAAGAAAGCCGTCGGCTAACTCTGAGAGGCTCGCCGGTTGTAGTGAGATCAACAAAGCGTTTCAGGAAGTGTTTGTTTGGATGAAGTCAAATCTAGTATCTGAATTTGAAAGTGGAGCAGATGTATTCAAGCAAAAACGGTTGCTGGAATTCGTTCAGCCGAAGGCGGAAGAAGATATAGGAGCTATATTGGCTAAAGTCAACCGAGGTTTCCTGCTGAAGACAGAATATAATTAATGGCCAGCTTTCAATGTACAGACAATCCCTAGACGGAAATGAAAAGAGGTTCTCTACTTTTGGCTGCCAAGAGGCAGGTTCATGTAGACGACATGGTCTCGAGCATGCCACAACAACCCGGATTGTTGAATGAGATGCAAAGACTTTTTCACACAAAGATTGCGAGATCTCCCTCTTGAAGGGTTTAAACCCCTCAACCTGTCAGGATACTACTCTAGGGTGTCGAATTTCAAAAATCCTGAGGCTAATAAGTTCTCCGGAGTAAGTCAGGCTGATAGGTTTGAATCTGCGGAGCAACGGAATTTAGGAATTGCAAAAAGCATATCAAGCCAAACAGACATGGGTAGTGGTTTCTCCTGTTTAGCTATGAGGACTATCAATACTTACAAATCACACAACCTATCATCTAGGACCTACACTATTTGGCTACTGGTGAGATCTCCTCTGTGCCTTGATAATTGTTCCTTGTGAGATTTCACAGATCTATTGTCTTCGACCCTTTGTTCTCATTTCAGGAACATAGTAACTCCATCTGCTTCAAACAAATTTACAGTATTTTCTTCCACGGGCAACTTTGACAGTCCCGACGATCGTTTGAAGCTTTTGTAGCTGTAACCGCCTCTCGAAAAACCGACAACCCTGCACACCTTCGCATTGTACCTTCACAGTTCAGCCTTCTTCATGGAGCCTTCTTGACTTCACACGACTCATGAACTCTCGCCAAACCTACCAGTAATATATTTGACAATAATGACAACTTTGGGGATTCATGGCAGTTACACTCGCCACATGAAGCTCAAATCGCTGTTCCCGCTCTCTATCAAGTCCTAAAAAGCACCCCCGCCTTGTGAAATTTAGCAAATATATTTGCTTTGTAAAGAAATTGGGAGTACCCAATGACCCAGAACGATCTTGACCTTAACCAAGTCTTCATAGTCCTCCCCACCTTGCAAAGACTCCTGCTTGCACTTGCCCTTTGAATCTTTAGGAACTGCACCCGTCTCATGAAAGTCTTGACAGTTGCAATCGCCTCGTAAACTCTGAATAGTCGCACTCGCCTAATGGAGCTAGTTTGTAGGCTGCAACTGCCTTATCAGATTTCACCAGACCTACCCGCCTCTTTAGAATTCAAGAGATCGTCCTGGCCTTATGAAGCCCTAGAACCTCTCCATCCACCCCATCGATGCTTTTCTCTCTATCTGCTAGATTCTCTACCCTCAACCTCTTCTCTTTCTACGACCCTCTGCCACCAAACATCTTTCTGGTGACCATTCTCCAGTCGCCTCTAGCAAGACCAAGCATCATCGTCTAGGTAGGTAAACCATCTCTTCCACGTCATTGCGATACTTGAGAGTATCTTGTACTCTTCTTTCTATGTTGTCATCTTCTCTCTGCTGGCTCCCTTGCGTTTGGTGGAGAAAACCAGCACAAACTGGGGTGCGGAAACACGTCATCCGCAGATGCTTCAGTCGCTTGAGTGACAATATTGACTGATTATTTCACAGCCTACAGACATATTCGCAGAACCTTCGCATACGATACGCAGTCACTACAACAGTAAGTTAGTTGTTTTTTTACTTCTTCCTTTATGTCGGCTTATGCCGGGCGTCGCAAAAGTTGGCTCTTTTGGTCCGCTTTCCGGAGACGAAAGCGCGCTTCTTCTCGACCATCGGCAGCGGGCTTTCCAATCCGAATCTGAAGCAACAAGCGACACCCATATTCTCCAACATTTGCAATCCCTCCTTTCTTGATCCTTCTCGATTCGTTTTCGAATTCCGGAAAGCAGCTGTCAGTTGCGCCTTCCAACTCAGCCTTCAAGAAAGAGCAAGAGAATAGAAGACAAGCGCGCTGTACAATCCTCTTCTGATGCCTCACTCACTCTGAACTTTGCCCTCACTTTGAAATATCATCTCCTGCCTGTAACTCTGCTAACCTTCATCAAAGTTCGCTAGAGCTTTGCCAAAAGCATCACTAGCCATGCCTCGCCAGGTCATCTATAAGACGACCATGGGCCCGGCTCGCCGCACTCGCGCTCACAGCCAGGCTCTCATCAACAGTGCAGGTGCCGCCGCCGCCGTCAGCAAGATTACTGTCACTGCGATGCCTAACATCAAGGGGTCGAACACCTCGACCACCGAGGCCCAGGCTAAAAAGGTCAAGAAGGAAGAGAAGGCCAAGCAGGTTGCGAAGGGTGAAAAGGTCCAGAAGCCGAAGCCTCGCTTCGACACCTTCCACCCGTTCCCCCGTCTCCCCAACGAGATCAAGGCCATGATCCTGTGCGAGTACATCGACTTCGAGCCTGCCATCATCTACGCTAGCTGCAAGGCGAACAAGTACGTCCCGGGCCTCATCGACGTCAACACTGGCAAGGACGGTAGGCACTCGAAATACAAGTGCCTCACTGAGCTCACCAAGGGCATTCCCGATTTCAAAGCCTACATCGAGCGCCAGATTGGTGTCTCCTTCCACGACCTGTCCTACCGCCCCCAGGAAGGCGTCCGCAATGGTAAGGATCTCATAGTCCTCATCTTCAACGAGAATTGGAGTCATCACCTGAACTGGTACAGCGCTTCCCAGCGGGAGCTGAATCGCGAGAAGTTTGTGCCTGGCATCGAGAACATTGGCGTCATGTACGATTCGAGCCGCCTTCGCAGCATGAATCGGGTCTTTAGACGCTCTACTCGTCCTTGCTCGATTATTGATCTCGGCATGATGATCATGAACCTTCGTGACATCAAGAACTTCTACATTCTTGTCAAGCTGCGCGGCGGCAGTCAGCCTGAGCAAAAGAAGTGGATGAAGAAGCGGCTCCGTAAGTGCTATCGCAGCTGTGCGCGAGCCCGTTATTGATCTCACTTGTACTAACAACAAGAATACAGGCATTGCGAAGCGTCCCAACAAAGATCTCGTAGTCTTCGAGGACAAGCAGAGAACTTGGGTGGAGATCACTCGGTCCACCGCTAGACATCAGGGAGATGGCTCTCTTCTGAGAGATGTAGCCAATTTCCTCAGACTGACCGAGCGTTTCTACCATTCAGCTTGCACCATACATAATGGACCTCCCAACGTCCGATTCCGCATCCTGGTGGCGTCGCATTTCCTGAACAAGACGCTGGGGATTTGAGACTGAACCCCGCCACGAACAAATTGACCTCGAAGGATCCAAGGCAGCGGAGTATTTGGCAAGGAGGCATTGAAGAAGGGATACGGCAGTATGGTCATGGCTTTCATGAGAATCGGCTTTACAGATGGACAACGCAGTTCATAAACAAGGCATCAGCTCATGTGCACTCGGGTTTGGGAGAGGGTAGGAGGCAGGAAGTGCAGATACCTTAGCCCAGAAATCCGCATCGTTGCAATTCGAGGAAATCACAGTATTCATGCTGCAGTTTGTGACATGGTGCCATTGATCGTCATTCTTGCAGGTATACAGCGCTGCGATGGAGCCCTCTCAGTTCTCATGCATGGCATTGCATAAATGGGCATCTCTCTTTACTGTTGCCAAGCGATGATCATGGTCTAGTTGCCGCTGGGCATTTGAACCTGCATGATGTGAGGTGATGGCTTGTGACAGCTTCACGTTGACTGACTATCGTGGTATGAGGTCCGAGAAAGAAGGGCGCCCCGTGAAAGCTAAAGATACAGCTAAAATTCAAAGACAAAGTGGACCGTCGTCATTCGGGTGAGATCCGCCCGCTCGGCTCGGCTTCCGATCGGCGGACCCTCGAAAAAGTGCCTTATCACGAACAAATCCCACCGCCGGAAACGAAAAGATTTCGGCGCCGAATGCTTATCCCAGTGGCTTCGATCTCCGGTTTAAAGCCTTGCCTTAATTGTCTTGGGGCGGCATCGGAGCATTTCGCTGGGGTGGAAAAGTGACTAGGGGACTGACTAATTTCAACGGCGATATCGTCCGACGCAAACAGCGATAACTTAAGAGCCAAGGACCTTGCTACTCTGGTTCACTTTGCACACGTCACTTCGATCAAATTCTGTTATTGTAAGCTTGATTCTTGATGAAACATATGAGCTCGGATTTATACAGATTGAGCGGTTTATGTCTTTTATAATGAGATTCAATCCAAGACACAACGACGATGGCGACCTCGAGTAAACGCTCAAGTAGTGAGCCGCAATGGCTCAAAACATTCATCGATGTTCTCCAAGCGATAAAGCTGGTATGTTCAACTCACCCGTTCATCCTTCTTCTGTAAAAGTAGCTCACTCATCTCGTACAGGCTGCGTCCCAGACGGCTCCGAAACTCCTCAGTTCATGGCTTTACGTGCCCGCGGGTATCATGGTTATGCTGGCCGCTTGTTTTGGCGTCAGCGTCTTCTTCGACGCCGTCGGCGTTTCGTTCCCTGCATCTGTGGCCTGTTTGATTCTGCTCTTCTTCGGTCTGTTGCTGTCGGAGTTGATATTGGGAAACCACAAGACGAGAGCAATCGTTGCTGTCATTGACGTGCCAGTAAGGGTTTCCAACGCAATTGACATTATTGGAGCTAGTCACTAATGACTCCCAGGCGGGATGGTCTCTCCGTTGGATCAACATCTTCTTCACACCATCATTCATCATGCTGCCTTTGAGTCCTTCAATCGGCATCGTCGAAGTCATGAAAATCATCGCCGTCTTCAGTGAGTCTTCCTTAAATAAAATACTTCATGTACCTAACACCCCTCAGTCATCGGCTTCATCGTCATGATGGCCCTCGCCGCATACCTCACCCGCAGCCTCCAACTCCTACTCGGCTCATCCAAACGCGCAATGACAGAACGCGCAGAAGAAATGGGCAACGAGACCGACGAGATTCCCCTCGCCGACACCCCTCCCCGAACCGACTCCGTCCTGGGCTCCCGCACCATCTCCGCAGCCCCGTCTTCGCTCTCCCTCAACACCCTCGCTCCGCCGCCCCCCTCCCAAAACGCCTCACATAACTTCCTCCCGTCAGCAACATCCTCCCCCGCGAGAGTGACCGAGATCAACCTTGAAATCCCCTCCTCTCCACCAACACCACCTCTCCCACCACAGGATCCCATCCCTCTGCCACGCTCCCAGCTCTGGGCAGCCTGGATCTGCGGCCACCTCAACTGGGTTCTCTACGCCTCCATCTTCACCTTTGTCGGTATCCCTCTCTACTATGCAACAGGCTACGCCATGCCCCTTCACCTCAGCCTCATCCTCCTCGTCTACTTCTCCGCCATGTCCGTCCCCGCAAACTGGAGACAGTACCTCCACCCCGTCCTCGTCACCGCCCTCTTCTCCGTCCTCGGCATCTGGGCTTTCGCCGCCATCCGAGGCGCAGGCCTCTTTGAAACTCTCCGGTCCTTCCGTACGGGAGCGAATTACACGTACCTCTGGCTCCACGCCAAGAATCCGGAGGGCCGCCTCCCCGGCGCCGGCGACATCTTTAGCACCGTTCTCGATGCGAGTATTGTATCGCTCGCGCTGCCGATGTACCAGTATCGCCGTGAGCTGAAGCAGAACTTTGTGGCGATCGTGTTGCCCAACATCCTCATGTCGATCGGCTGCCTCTTCTCGTACCCCAAGATCTGCTTCGCCATCGGTATCAGCGCGGAGAGGTCTCTCGCGTTTGCGTCGCGGAGTCTGACGCTGGCGCTGGCTCTCCCTGCGACGGAGAACTTGGGTGGTGATTTGAATACCGTGGCTGCGATAGCTATCATGAGTGGTATTGTCGGAGTGCTAGTTGGTCAGCGGATGTTGGCCTGGATGAAGATCCCGGAAGGTAAGAGGCTGTCCACTGTGAGCGATGAAATGGGTGAACATGAGCAGCTAACAGAAAAACAGATGACTACATCACACGGGGCGTCACACTCGGAGCCAACTCCTCAGCCATCGCCACCGCCCTCCTCTTGCGAACCGATCCCCGTGCTGCGGCGCTATCAAGCCTGTCAATGAGCTTATTCGGCACCATCACCGTCTTGTTCACATCCATCCCGCCCATCGCAAGCGTCATCAAATCCCTTGTAACCTGATCGTTTTCGATTATTGCTGCAGCATCAACTCATTGGAGTGTACGCGCCCCAAGCCTTGTCTACGCCGGAATGCTAGGAGCCAACCCCCTCCAAAACTCACACCTGGCACCACGTCCGCCCTCCCACGAATCCGCAGGGACAACCCGAATATCATTCACCTGTCCCGGCGCCATAAATTGCGTGACCTGCGCCCCCCACGAAGTCGTAAACTCGTACGGAACGCCGCCCGTCTGGTTCAGATTCACCTGCTTCGGCGCCTCCTCCGTCCAGACAGGCCACTGGCTCGCCCCGTTCTCAGCGCCTATGTCGGCGCCGGAAGAAGCTCCGTTTGCGAGTTCATTGCTGATGGAGGGATCGTTGCCCGTGATGAAATTTCCCCAGATCTTGCGGAAGGCGAGGACGATGTCCGGGCCCTGGTTCGGCGTCGCGGGGCCAAAGTAGCCTGGGATGTCGGCCGTGTGCCAGGCGAAAGGGACGGAGTACTGGTAGTGCCAAGACGACATTGGCGACGTGAAGGCGTCGGAAAGCCAGTAGCTGGGGCACACGAATGTTGCCTCGGCGTAGATGTTCTATGCAAATTGTGTTAGAGCAAGAAGCACGAAGCATTGCGACAGGGTAAGCTTTATGCTTCCTTACGTTTGCTCTCTGCTGTTGTCCGGTCCCAGACTGGCTCACGTCAAGGGCCGTAAGCCCCGTCAACCCGTTCGTCTCGAAGCGGGTATCGTTCGAGCCCGTTTTTGTCGGATTCGCGGCGAGGATCTCGTCGATTTGGCCCGGGGAGAGGTTGGGGAACTCGAGCTTCAGCCAGGACGTCAAGTCTGCGACGCTGAAGATGTTGGGAGGGGTGAGGAGAGGTCCTTCATTGGCGTTATGCTTGCAAGGCTCGTCAGTTAACGGTCGAGAATTCACGGAAAGGAAGCGCGATTTGGTGGGGAGGATACTCACACCGACGAGAAGGCGCTCTCCGTTGACTTTCTTCTGCTTCATCTGCTCGGTCGGGAGGCTCTTGATGTAAACGCTGTCCGTCACAGGGTAAAACGCCCTATCATCACCCAGTCAGTCGCGTTCAGGAAGGGTGAACTGCATGTCCCGGAAATCGACTACCTACCAGAACCCATAAGGCTGTTCAAACGTCGTGTTCGCGCTCGCTACCTGCAGCGTCATACTATCCTTCCCACGAAGACACGTAAGAACATCATCAGAGGACGAGCACCCCGCCTTCTCAGCGAACGCCTGGTACCGCGCTGTCGGAAACGGCGCATCAAAGGTGTAGTGGAAGGGCAGATATGGCGAAGCAGCGATTCCCTAGGACCAAATCCACATTAGCCCACTCGTCACCACCATGGGTTTTGAATCGAAACTTACGTTGTTGAAGAGCGTCGTCCCCAGACCCCCGTCCGCGGCGAGAGTGTGATACATCACCGATCCGGCGCCCGCCGACTCCCCCGCAATCGTGACCTTTCCACGATCCCCACCAAATAGGCCGATGAAGCGCTGCACCCAACCAAGCGCAAAAGCCTGGTCTAGAAGTCCCGCGTTCACGACACCCTGAGCCTTGACGTCCGCAGAGGAAAGAAATCCCAACGCGCCGAGCTATACGTTCGTCAGCATAGTCCCCCAACGCTTCTGTCTCATCCACCGACAAATCCCAGGAGAAGAATAGACAAATGCCCCTAAAAAGAGACAAAAAATTGTGCAGGGAAGCATGCATACCCGATACTGAATGACAACAGCCACGAAACCACCCTCATTCGCCCCAATAATCTCCGACATGTCAATCCTCCCATCACCGTACCCGTACCCACCGCCGTGGATGTACACCAGCACAGGCAGGTCCTTTGCGTCAGCGGGCGCGTACACGTTTAGGAAGAGACAGTCCTCGTTGCCGGGGATGAACGGGAGACCCGGGACAGCGGGGTAATTCTGCGGACAGATGGGGCCGAACTCGTTTGCTGCTGTCACCCCATCGCCGGCCCCGGCCGTGTCGTTTGATGAAGGGAGACGAGGAGGTTGCCAGCGCTGTGAACCTGTCGGCGGAGCTGCGTAACGGATGCTGGAGGAGTTAAAGTAAACATCTACGAGATAAATAGAGAAACATCGTACCCTTTCCAAATATTTAGACCGCTGGTGGCGTTGTTATACCCTTCATATTTGGCATAGCCCAGATCTACAACCAGCAAAGAAGGCTGCCGCTGAAGAGCATCGCCCAGACCCCGTGTATCGACAAGCAGACGATCCAAGAACGTAGTCGCCGCATCCTGCCCTTTATATGAGGGAAAGGCGCCCGAGAGGCAGGGCGCGAGGAGGCCCGCGACGACTAGCGGTAGAGTCCTGAAGAGACGCATGGTATTGTAAGTGAGCGAATGTGGTGTCCGACGTGCCTGGAACGAGTGACTGTGACGGAACGGGAAGACCAGAGAGGGTAGCTAGCTGTATAAGGGCGTCATAGAACGAGATACCAAAGCCCCCATCCGTCATACTTTGGCATGTTCACATAAACGGCAATGTGCCGCACCAGTTATTGAAGTTGACTAATACCAGCCGGGACATCTCCGTCACGATTCACCTTATTTTGAGTTTCCCTACCCGCACTGACTACCTAAACAAGCAGTCTAACAAAACCGGACCGCTAAGGAAAACCTGGTTTGTTAATATAGACCAATATGCGTAAACCCCAGTCCATGAACCCGGAGACGTTTCTTCCCTAGCAATGTAGAACAGCCGAGTCAATCGTAGCACGGTCCCCAATGCTTCGCGAATAGGGGAGGGGGACTCTCGGTCCGTGCCATGATTCCCTGAGTCGATTCAAGCTTGTCCAATATTTTGCTCACCTCGTTTGTTGTACGGATGATGCGACGAACAGCGGGGGGAGCCACTGGGGGAGGGCATGTCAGCGTCACATCGGGTCGTGGTTTGGACCTCGCCGGCGAAGACGGCAGCTTCCTCTCCGCAGAAACCGAGCTTAAGAATGCGGAATACGAGGGGTAGAAGCGAGGTGCCGGCTTCACTACCTCTTTGCAGGTGCTTTTCTATATTGCCCAAGGTACTCAGGTATTAATACTAGGCCAACTGTCAAGTTTGAATTAACTTGTAGTAAGATGAAATTCTGCGGCGTAGAATAGCATACAACAGAAGCAGACTTAAGACTTCAAACAGACAACGCTCTCTGAGGTGGGCTATTGAGACTTCTTGAACAGAGCACAGCCGTACTACGTGAAAACGCAAAGACAAAAAACTCCAGAAAAGCAACGGAAGCAAAAAGGCACCGGTTGTCGAAATGGTATGCACTGCTTACCTTATATCATCGAAACCAAGTTCTCAGTAACCCACGAGTTATAAGCTGGAACCCATCTCCATATGATCATGGAGCTCTCTTAAGCATTAGAGTTCGAGCCCATCTTAATCTCCACACCAAAAAAATGCCGAAAAGCAGTGTCACCATCCCCTGAACCTCCCTTCGTCCGAACATCTATCCGTAGACGCCACGCGCAATCAACCGTGGAGCCATCGTCTCGATAAGAAGCAGACGTATTCTACCCATCGTCGTGTCAATCTGCCCCGAGCTTCCCCCCGCTCGTCTTGAGTCTCCCGCAGGATCTTCCCGACACACACCAGGTGCGGGGCTCGAATCTCACGCCGTCTCCGACAGCGTTCCCGCGCCCGGGGTGCCGTGCGCCACCGAGTCGGAGGGCCGGGGCCGAGTGACATGCCCCATGCCGGTGATCCGGTGATGCTGCCGTTGAACTGCCTTAGTAATATAGTACCTTGAGTCTTGATACTCCAGTCACTGCAAGATCAGATACCACAAGTCATAATCAGAAGCTCGCATTGTCTTAGTCGAACCTAGGCCATTCATAATCCAGCCAAATCAATTCCAATCCCAGCAACAAACCCGTCCAAATCATGCGGGCGGAGTCTTTAGCCCGCCAGTTTTCTTCCCAAAGTTATTTCCCAACGTCATGAACCGTATATAATCATCCGCGTACCTCTGTCTTCGCCTACTTAATCAAATAAGAAAAGGAGTCGGGGTGCCTCATTTCCGCTCCTCAAAGTAGAACTTGCCGAGCTTGTCGCCGCCACCCTGAGGGCTACCAAGTGCGGTGTTACCTACGCGCGCCTCGCCCCCATCAAGTCGCTCCCTAAGAAGACGCTCTGCGGTATCACGAGCTGTTGGCGTCGTGGCGGGGTTAGCTTGTGAAGATCGCTGGGGCAGCTGGGAAGCAGGGACAGGTGGCTTGTTGGTGGTGTCGACGTACATTTCGTCGTTAGGTACACCAGCACCATCATTGGTCGTACCATCCATCATCCGCGCATCCCGTCTTTCCTGCATTGCGGCCGCGCTGGTGGGAGTATCACCGCCGATTGTGACGTCGCGGGCCCGCTGCGTCGGCATACCGTCACTGAGACCAGAGGCACTTCGCTCTAGGCCCCAGATACCGGCCTGGCCAGCAACTCCAGGGATGGGGCGGCGCTGGTAAATGGGACCAGAAACGGTGCTGTTGGCGCCCTCGCCGAAACCAACAAGACTGGCGGATCCGTCGTCGCTCATGCGGTCGTCGTAGCCTCCGGTGGACCCAGCTGTCTGGTCCTCGTCCATGCGTTCAGGCTCGGCGCCCATACTGGTAACCGAGTCGGCCTCGCGGTAGTTGGTATCCATGCTGAACATGTCCTCGTCCTGCTCACCAGGTGCGGTGCGCGTCTCGTTGTCGTCACCGACATAGCTCTCGGTCGCGCTGGCGGTACCGACCGTGCTCATCTTAGTAACAGCGGTGGGCTGGCCATGGGCGTCAAAGTACGCGGGCGTGAGGTGCGTATTGGGCGGGTAGTTGGCAGGGAAGCCGGTGGAGGTGGGGGTCGTCTGGGGAGAGATTGAGGAACCGGCATTCTGCTGGTGCGGCGGGGCGCGCAGAGTCGAGACTCGCTCTAATCCGGCGAGACGGGAGATTCTGTCGGCACGCTCTGCTTCGAGGCTTGTTGTAGAGGGGTGGTGGGCGTGGCCGCGGACACCGGCGGGACCCTGGGGAAAGTGGCCTCGGTGGCCATCTTTAATAGCGGTGGTAGAGAGGGCAGAGAGGGAGGTCGTGGCGCTCGTGGGAGTGCCGCTGAGTAGAGAGATATTAGCTTGGGAAGCAAGTGGGAGGGGGGAAATGAGACAGCGTACGGCATCTCAGATGGAGTATCTGGGTTAGAGGTGGGAGGAGGGAGGTTGATGAAGGTAGGACGCGGTGCTTGCGCCATGGCTGCTAGAATCGATGTCGGTATCTGGGATGAAGCGAGGAGGTGTCGATGAGGTCGATAGCGGAAGCCGTCGACGATGTTAGATGTGTCGATGTTCGGACTGAGATGAGGTCGTAACCGGGTGCTCGTAGGCGGTAGCTGCGCTTCGGGCAGAGATGAGTCGGGGGCGCTTCGTGGCAGACGGTAGCTAAACGGCGGAAACTATCAGGTATCGTCGTCGGGTATGCAGGTGGGCGTTTGTTACCTCCAGAGCTAGACAATGGAGGCGTAGTAGTGGTATCTAGCACAGAGTCGAATGGGTATCGCAAAGGGAGCAATTCGCATGTGCGCTTCTGGTTGTCGTGTGCAGAAGAAAGGGTGACGAGGTGTGGCTGGAATGTGCAGAGTTCCAAGTTGAGTGAAGAAAGCCAAGTGACTGGATGTTGGACGTTCGCGTCAGGCAGGCGTGACAGGGAGGCACTGAGGTTGGTCCCCTGAAGTCATGAAAGTGAAGCGTCCCAAGGTCAAGGTACTTGGATGTTTGTACCGAATGAGGTGGGAAAGCAAGGCAAGCGCTGGGCATGGGTGGGTCCTTCCTTCGAAGAAGCTACTAAAGGTACGTACAACAGACAGCGGGAGGCAGGTCGGTCTACAGAAGGAGCAGCAGGTGCAGAAGAGCAGGAGCAAGGCGGGGGAGGGGAAGAGCACGCAGCAGGCGGGGGGGGCAACGATGGGCAGGAACGGGAACGGTGACGGAGCGTCGGATGGGCAGAGCACCTCAGTGCAAGGCAAGAGCACTGAGCATTGTCCCTTCCTCCTTGGGCCTGCCCGCGCTACCAATGACGTAGACTCCAGTACCTTGTGTGCCCCGCTTACATCACCAGGAGCAGGCACATCTTACGAGCTTTGATTGGTTCACCAGACTTCAGTCGTGATTGGACCCCACCTATCTTGGACCCCTCAGGCTGGGAAAAAGGTACAAAGTGTATGTATCTTTTTGTGAGGACCCTGAATGCTTCTCCTCCCCGTCCCTGCATCTCCTTCCCGTTGCGTGGGTTTATTCCGTATGACATCCATTCCCCATTTGCCTAACCCATGTACAATGATGGCATTTCATTCCAAGCGATAGTTTTCTGTGTATTTCACATGTACATTATCCGTACGTGCGAACTGAATACCAAGGCTTTGAGAAAGGTTGCTGCCCCTCTCACAAGTCATGACCATACCCAACACATCTCAAAAAACACCCGGCTTGAAATCGGTCACCCTCGCCTTGATAATAGCCGACCCAACCTGCTTCATAAACGCCTGGTGTGCAGGGTCCTTGTGGAGGTAATAGTCGCGGTCCTCAACGCTCTCAAACTCGGCCACGAAAATGTGCGTGATGCCGTCCTGCAGACCCTCGGGGCTGCAGTCGAGGCCGCCGACCAGAGACTTGATATACGACTTGTTGGACGTTGGGTGGATGCAATTCTCCTTGAGCGCCAACATGGAATCGCACATCTGTGCCTAGTGTTAGCCTGCTTTCTCGCCTTCTCGCTAAGGTAAGGTAGCCATCTGACCCCGGGTCTGCCGGGCTATGGCCAAACATACCGTCTTCACCTCCTCTGCTGGAATGAGCTCCTTGAACTGGAACTGGACAACGTGGATGACGGTCATTTTTGAGTAATTCAAGAGTCGATGAGACAAGGAGGGGTATAAGAGTTGGAGTTGAGATAAAGTAGAGTCGAGCGGCCCTTGGGTTGTTGATCAGTTGTTTTGGCTTCCCTTCCGGACGTCCTCACCCCGCCTCTTGTTCAACGCGGGCGGAGTATGGAACGGCGGGGCATCGCCATCTCATCCGTCATCGTCCCGTCTTGATGCGGGGTGACCTTCAGCCAATCATATGTGCGAAACACAACCACCAGACTGGTCTTCAATTGACCAGCATCCACGCCTGATTGTGAGGCACGTAGGTATACAAGCATCAGGTGGAGGGTGCAAACACGCTGTGTACTGGCAAGCCACATGTGGTTGTGGTCGCGATTATGGCCAGCCTGGCCTGGGCTGACAACTGTTGTGGATTAGTGTTTCCTGGCAAACGTCTGCCTCCTTTCCTCTGGGTGCTCTGGGTATCGATCGATTCATCACTGAATACGACCACATCGCCGGACACGTGCATTGCGGTGACGGTGTTTCCTTTTGTCAGTCCGTCATGAATAAATTCTAGAACCCGTAGCAAGGAATCGGGGCTTTAACTGCGCTAGTCTTGGAGGAATAAATGAATACGAAGCCGAACAAAACATCGACTATCGTTCCGAACTTTCACATCAAGAACAATGCTAGCTTTGCAGGAAGCCTCGACGTTAAGATGGTAAAAGAAACTCACATACCCAAAGGAGCTTGTGTCAACTATGGTATAATGGCATCACACAAGAAGCTGTCGAGCCCTTAATGGAGTACAGTTATTGAAGTAATGATTTTCATTATTATATCTCTTCCTCATCTACCTCTCTCTCTTGACTCTTCCTCATTACGAAACCATCATCCATGGCCTACCTCACCAATTTTATCACCAAATCCATTCCAGCTCATCATACGAGAGCATTCAATACAAAGGAAACTTCTTGCTTGTACCAAGCTTGTGCTCGCTCATGATATCCATAGACCACTGCAAGGCCCAGATTACAAGAACACAACCATACCAATAGCAACCGCACCAAGAACGCTCATCAGCGGCATCACGTTGGCAGCCATCAGAGCGGGCTCGCCGGCCGTCACCACGGCGGTGGGAGAGGTGGTGACGGGGCGGGTACCGCTGACGGTGGTGGGAACGGCTGGAGTAGTCGCGGGAGAGCTGCCGGCGGGAGGCTTGGTGGGGTTGGAGGTAGGGTTGGAGGCGGGAGGGTTTGCGGGAGGGTTTGCGGGAGGCTGCGCAGGAGGCTGCGCAGGAGGGTTGGCAGGGGGGTTGGAAGGCGGGTTTGAAGGAGGGTTTGAGGGAGGGTTGGCGGGAGGGTTGGCGGGAGGGTTGGAAGGCGGGTTGGAAGGCGGGTTGGAAGGCGGGTTGGAAGGCGGGTTGGAAGGCGGGTTGGAAGGAGGGTTGGAAGGAGGGTTTGAAGGAGGGTTGGAAGGCGGGTTGGTAGGCGGGTTGGAAGGCGGGTTGGAAGGAGGGTTGCTTGGGTTGCTGGGAGGGTTGCTGGGGTTGGTAGGCGGGTTGACAGGAGGCGAGGCCGGGTTCGAGGGCTTCGTGACCATGGTCGAGCCACCAGGGCCAGTAGGGGTAGGAGTTCCCGGGCGAGTGAAGGACGAAGTAGTCGTCGTGGTGACGGTGCTGCAGACAGCATTGTTGCAGGTGGTGTACGTCTTCGTAAGGGTCGAGCAATCAGTGTAGAAGGGTGGCTGGGTGCTCGTGGCCGGAACGTAGACTGGGCGGGTGTAAGTTGAGCAGGTGCCGTTGTAGTTGCAGCGAGTGATGGTGGTCACTGTCGGGGGAGTGATGACGGGGGGGAGGGGGTAGGTGATTGTGGTGATGGGCTTGCAGTAGCCGTTGTAGCAGGAGGTGATTGTCACGCAAGGGGGAAGGGTGACAACATCGCAGGTGCCGTTGTAGTTGCAAGTGGTGGTTGTCACCGGGGGAGGAATGGTGATAGGAGCGGTTCCGTTGGGGAAGACGGGAGGAGTGGTGACAATGGGCCCGGTGGTGGGATCAACTGGGACCGGGATGATGGTGGTGCTGTTGTTGGGAAGGGTCACGGTCGAGCTGGTAAAGGTAGGGAGAACGCCGGGGTCGGTGGTGTTGAGGGCCGAGGTCGTGAGGACGGTAGAGGTGACGACGTCGGTGGTGGTGCTCGACGTGGTGGCGACGCCGGGGTCCGAGGAGGTCGAACCGGTAGAAGTCGAGGTCTGGGTGGTGCTCGGGACGGTGCTGGCGCCGCTGCTGAGGGTGGAGTCCGTGGTGACCGAGGTGCTCGTGGGAGCAATGACAGTGACGGTAGAGCTGCCGACACTGGTCACGACAGACGTGCCAGTGGAAGCCGTGCTGCTGGAGCTGGCCGAAGAGGTCAGAGTGGTGGTGGTACTGCCGCTGGTGACCGTGGTCGTAGGGTTGGCCACAGTCACGGTGGTGCTGGGCGTCACGGTGGTAGTCGGAGCGACGACGGTGGTCGAGGTGGTCGACTGGCCGTTGACACCGGCCAAGAGGGCGGCACCCGCGGCGAAGCGGATCATGGCAGGAGAAACCATCTTGATGGTTTGTATCTGTAAGCGAGAGTGGTGGTTGATTGTGTTTGACTAGACTCTTGAGCTAGAGAAAACGAAAGACGAAAGCGAATGTCGAAGCAGAAGCTCGAAGAGGAGAGGAGTGTTGGAGATGTGATTGCTGTGATGAGGATGAGAAGAAAGGACTGATATCGGTTGGGTTCAAGGAGGCTTGATATAGCCGTTGATCGTGTGGTGTACGTCTGCCCACCCTCGACTGAACAGTACCGAGAACGTCGGTGGGCCCATGCAGGAACACTTCGTGAGCTCCATCCAGAGTGAACATCATCGGCCAAGAGCATCGTGAAAATTCAGAGATCTCGGATATGGCTGCATGCGGCAAAAGATGTTGCGAGCCCCTCGTGCGCTCTGCCAGTTCGGACCGTTTTGGCGTACGCCATAGTGGACAGTTGGGACTGGCAGTTGGACGGATGTAGTAAGAAGAAGAGGTATTTTTGGGATGAGCCCGTAAGCGAGCATGGCTAACACGCGAGTGGTCCAAGGAAGAGAGTTGCGCCGGGCGAGGTACGGAACCAGGGGAGAAGAGCATTTCGTCGGATCCGGATAGATCAGAGGCAAGTGTGGTGGGTTTGGTGAGGTAGTTGTCTAGAGTGAGACATTGCGCGATGGATCTGGTGGGTATCTTCGGGTGTGAGGAATGTTGGTGATCGCTGCGACCCTGCCCGAGGCGATTCAGAGTGAGACAAGAATGGCGAGGGGAAACGGAAGGCGACTGCAATCCAGGGCAACGAGAGGGCCAAGCCAACGTATCCGTACGGCCCGGATCATGTCTCTTCGGCGCCGAAGACAGCCTTGCTCGCGTCCAAGCCCTATGAGAACGTCATCGACGCTGTCTCGCGGTGAGACAGCCGGCTCCCGAAGTCCGGTGGACTCAGCATTCCAGCCTGGTCGCGGGGTGATTGTCCATAGGGAGCGAGAGGGATGGTTCAGTCATCAACTGCCGCTCATGGCACCCCGGAGGAAATTCTGGTGGATTCCTTCGTGTCCATCATAAACTACAAGCTTAAAGATCTAGTAGGAAAATCTAGTTAGAAAATTCACATCAATCAGACTTATTGCCCTCAATACCTAATTGGCTCCGAACTCAATCCACGGAAGATCTTTCGTCTGTTGAGTGAATACGAGGAGAAAATGTCTGCTCCATGGCTGCAAACGGCAGGTTGTCGATGAAAATCGTGAAAGTTCTTCCGGAGCTTGGCCGTACTGAGATAAACGCGCTTTCGGTCCTTTGACGCCGCATCCACTCTCGTGATCTACGACACCCCCCATATCCCCACGTGTGGGTGGGAACGGGAGATGAAGTGGTTGCGCGATGTTGGGAGAAGCCACAGAGCGTGTCGTTGAGGCTTATGGCGGGACGCCGGAGTCAAGGGGGAAAACCAGTTGGACCCGGCTGGGAGGGTAGTGGCTTGCGCCGTGATCGGTCGTGTCGATTGGTAAACCGTAAACGAAGTTCCTGAGACATCAGCTCATATTGCTGGATTGTGACCGATTGAGGACGAGCATCTCGGATTATGAAGGTTGTATGCTGCCGTCATGGAGAGTGTGGTACGATGGACCCAATGAGCCTTTGATTATCGCTGCGCTGTCACTGCCGTATCGTAGAGGACCTGGCAACTGCCGAGGTGTAGGTTTGAGGACAGGCCGAAATGTGTATTTACGTCTAGCTTGAACGATGTCCTGCGTCGTATCCCATAATTAGCAAATAAGCGGAACCGATTGATCTTTAGGTCAGCGGGGAGACTGTCAAGACGATAACCATAAACATGTGAAGTAATAAATGTGAGCCATGTATTCATCTAGATTCCTGGACTGAGCTCTGCCTCCATGCAAAACGCCCCGACAAATGAAAAGATATCCAACCTAATCTATTCATACATGACGCAATAGTCTTTCTTAATCATCCACTGCTCTCTCCGGCGTGCCGCTTACAACTTCATGCCAAGTGCCTTGTGCACACGCATGCTCTGCCGGATGCTCAAGTCGAGCATAATCTCCTCACTGCCACCAGGGATGGCGTACGCGCGGACGTCGCGGTACAGTCTCTCGACCTTGCCGCCCTGGCCGCCGCGAGAGTACGACAGACCACCAAAGATCTGCGACGCCTCACGAGCGCAGAATTCAAAGGTGACGGTGCTCTGGGCCTTTAGGCCGGCAATGGCACCACCAAGCTTGAGCATGGCCTCGGTCTCACCCATCTTCTGGCACTGGAAGATGAGGTTCTCGAGCCATGCGTACGAGGCCTCAATCTGGCGGGCCATATGCGCAAGCTTGAGGCGAATGACGGGGTGCTCGTAGAGCTTCTTGCCAAAGGTACGACGCTTGTTGGCGTACTTGACGGACTCCTCGTAGCACACACGAGAGAAGCGCAGGCACTGGATAATGATGCCAATACGCTCGTGGTTGAAGTTGGTCATGATGACTGAAACATGTTAGTGAGGAATACTGGGCAAATTCCTGGGAATGGTCACACACCTCTGAAGCCCTGGTTCTTCTTGCCGAGCAAGTTTTCAACAGGTACCTTGACATCCTCAAAGGTGATGTAGGTAGTACCGCTGGACCAGACACCCTGACAGTCCATACGTCTTGTCGTGACACCAGGTCCTCTCTCGATGAGCAGCAAGCTGACACCGTTCATGCCCTCGCCACCTGTGCGGACGGCGGTGGTGAAGTAGTCGCACCAGATACCGTTAGTAATCCACTTCTTCTCGCCGTTGACGATGAAGTGCTTTCCATCCTCGCTGAGCTTAGCCTCGCAGGTCAGGTTGGCAACGTCAGAGCCGGCATCGGGCTCAGTAATGGCCAAGCAAATGCGCTTGTCACCGTTGAGAATGCCGGGTAGGATACGGTCAACGAGAGCCTTCTGGCCAAACTTGACCAGGGGCGGGCAGCCAATACCGAAACCACCAATGACGTTCCAGACAAAGCCACCTGATGCTGCGCGAGACAGCTCGTCGGTTAGAAGCATCTCATGGAAGAGATCCCAGTTCTCGGGAGCCACCGACGCAACGGTGTTGTTGGTGTACTGTGTAGGGTAGTGGACACCGAGCAGACCGGCAAGGTAGCCGCGCTCACCCATCTGCTTGTAGATGGCGGGGTCAACCTCCTTCTTCTCATCCCACTCACCAACGAAGGGCTCGACATTTGTCTCGACCCATTCGCGGATCTCGGTACGGAGGGCAGCGTGTGTCTCGTTGTAGTAGGGAGTGTGGTACTGTAGGCAACGTGTCAGAGAACGATAAGCGTCAGAGATGAATTGCAATTGAGCTTACAGCCTGGTACCAGTTGGGGTCGGCGTAGGGAACCAAGTCGCCAAAGGGATCCATTGGCTCGGACTCTTCGGTGCTGCTGGCAACGACCTTCTTGGGGGCGGCCTTCTTGGGCACGGGAGCGGCGGCAGCGGGTGCGGCCTCGACGGGCTTGGGCTTGGAGTCGAGGGAGCCGACGTGCAGCTTGGCCTTGTACTTCTTCAGGATACCCTCATTGTGGTACTTCCAGAACTGCTTGGAGGCGTCCTTTCCGGCGACGCGCTGGAGGATCTTCTTGCCACCTGGGGAGATCAGTTAGAGAGACGTGCGTCGGGTGGGTTTGGGAAGCAGGAGCTGAGGCGTTGGCAGAGTGGATGGCAGAACTGAACATACCTGGGTGGTCATCCTGGAACTTTGTGAGGTCGTAGACGTCGCCGTCGACGATGATGAACAAGTCGTCAGGCTTGTTGTGCGACGCAACGTCGCCAGTGGTGAAGGTCTTTGACATTGTGACTGGTGATTACTCTGTCGTACGATGCTGTGGAGTATGTGGGTGCTATCTACGGCAGACTCTCGTCGGATGGGTATTCGTCGTTCGACTGTGAGCTAACAGGAGAGATGGACCAGGGGAGAGGAAGACGAAGAAGGACGGAGAGGGGGGATAAGATTGTTTAAAGAAGTCTTGCCGGAAGAGGATGTGTCTGGGGAAATGGTGTCGAAAAACGAGTCGCGACGGCCAAGGTCGGCAAATGGGCCAGCAGCTCCGGCGCAGGCCAGACAATCACATGCTTGCGGACGCGACAAGGTAAGCCCAAGGTAAAATGGGAGAGGCACCTGCCCTTTGGTTTCTGGGAGAGGGTTACCTTCCATTGGACCTGCTTACCCAGGAGGGTTTAGGTACGGAGTACGGAGTACATCCAGGTTGGCTGGGGAAAGTACCCCTTCCCGCCTCGGGGTGAAGCTGGGGTGCAGATGGCCAGGAAAGGTACCTCTCGAATCCCTACTCTCGTCACCTTGCACGTTTGACCCAGGGGATGCGTGTGCGGACACAGCCGCAGCCTCAGTGCAGGACCACGGGACACGCATAGAAGTACATCTGCACCGAGGCATTGCAACGAGTCTACCTGAATAGCATGCAATCGATTACCGGCACGTTTGAGTATTGTGTGCAGCGATCCTCCAGGCTTGCGAGGCCATTCAATGCCATCATACATTTGTGTTTGTTGGCCTGAAGATTCCCCAAGTTCCCCCACACCTCTTGAGGCCGAAGACAGAGATACGGGTACCTACAAATCAAGCCAGAAACAAAAGCATGCGGAAATTCGGGGACGGGCCCAATGTGTGGGGAAATCTGCAGTATGGAGCAAGTACGGATACTAAGGTCGCGGGTAGCATCAGTCACTGAAATTGCGGCGGACGCGACTGGCCATGGCTGGAATCAACCACAATCAAGTGCCACTGGATTGGCTCGGAGGCTGGCGAACGGGAAACAGACTCCAGAGTGAGCTTGGGGAGCCGTCACGCTAGTCCCCATCGGCGACATCCAGGTGCGCTAATCCGTGTCATGTGGTCTCGTGCAGCCCTCTCCCCAGTCTCAGTTTGCGCGCCGTCCATTGTCTTTTTTTCTTCTTTTTTTTCTCTTCTTTTTTTCTTCTTTTGTTTGGCCTGGCGTGTGAAAGCCTCCGCTAGCCTGGATCAAACAGTTTACAAGAATGCGACTGGTGCTCAACTGCAGCCGTGTGTTTGGTGCGCAACATGTGATTCCCAAGTTCTGTTTCGGGCGTCGCACCTCCTTCTTCTTCGGCTGATGTCATCGAGGGGTGGCCCGTTTCCGGTTCGCGAGGTGTGGATCAACCTCGGCATCTTTTTCAAAGGTGACTGGCCAATGGGAATCCCGTCGATGGTCATGTGAGGTGGGCCCTTTCTGCTGCCGCTTTGCTATCCATGGCACAACAGCCCTCAGAGACGGAGAGGTGAGCATTCAATACCTACGTCCAATACGTCTCGAGTCAGGCACATGATCTCCCGACAACCGACCTCCCACACCAACGAGCAGAACGCGGAGAACCTGGACGGCGTTGGTATTTACTCTAGATTAGTAGATTACCCCGTGGGACAGAATTACCGACCCATGGCTTGTCTTCGGCATGCTACGAAGTAGTCGTCTACCTTATTAGCACGTGGGTTAGTCTGCGCAGTCCCACCAATGTCATGGGGGAGGCTGGCTGGCTGGCTGTCTGTACGGGTACATGTACTGCCTTTTTGCATGTAGATGAATTCCCAGGTTGTTGTCAGATAATCTGTATTTGAAAGGTAACGCGCTATGGAGATTGGTCCTCAACTCATAGCAATCCTCCCAAAATATTAGATCCACATTGCCTCCCAAGAGCAAATGGTCTCGTTTTTGACCCCCAAACGCCGAATCCCACACTAGAGTAATCCATGAAAGGCACCTTTCCGTCCCGCCCTTTCTTTAATACCTTGGATAAATATTCTCAAAGGAAAGACCACATGCCGCAATCCAGCCACCCCTGTCCAACCGACGACCAATACGTCCATCTAGGCTCCACGAGGCTTAGACTTGGCAGCAGCCTTCTCCTTCTTCTCCAACTTCTGCTTCTTCTTCTTCTCATCGTTTTTGGCATCCAGCTTCCGCTTATGCGCAGCCTTCTCTTCCTCTGTCTTGGGAATCACCTTGAAAAAACCATCGAGACGGACTTGCTGGTTACTCTTCAAGTTCTTCTCCAAGCGGGCGCCTGCTGAACGCACGCGGTCCTCAGAGAAGCCCTTTTCCGTGACGAGATACTGCACCAGTCCCTCCATATCGGGCTTCTCCCACTTGAAGTCGCAAAGTGGGTCGTCCGCCTTTCGCACGTCGGGGTTGAGAAACAGCTCTCGGGCATCTTGGTACGGCCAGTCGTCCGGAATGACGTACTTTTGCTTCGGGTCATTCTTGAAGGCCTCAACTAGTGTCTCCAGGTCACCGTGCTCACGGATCAGCTTGAGAGCCGTCGAAGGACCGACCTTCGGGATGGGGTCAAGGTAATCGCAGCCGAGGAGGATACACAGGTCGACAAACTGTTCGTATCATGAGTTACGACGCGTTCACCCTCGTCAATTATCATCCGGGAGCGACATACCTGCTTCCGCTCCATGCCAAGACCTTCCAGCACCTTCTCAATGTGAACCTCCTGAATAGGCTCTTTACGCTGCTCGCTGAACGTCAAGTGACGGAGCAATATAGGAGTATCAAAAGTGAGAGTGTCCATATCCTCACTGGCGGCGGCGTAGACCTTGCCTGCACGAGCAAGGACAGCACACTGAGCCTCAGCCTCAGTGGGAGCGATGATGAAGGGGATACCCATAAGCTTCAGAAGCTTTCGGCAGTCCTCATTGTGCTCGCGAGTCACCCGCACTGTTCTTCGGGAGAACTTCTCAACCTCCTCAGCGGTACCAGTCTCCTTGGCCTCCTCAAGACCCTCGGTAGCCTCCTGCTTTCTCTGGAATCGCTTGGCGAGCTCGCCAGACTTAAGCTTAGGCGGGGCGCCGTCGAAGACGTATAGTGGTTTGATTCCGTTGTCAACCATTCGGAGTGTACGATAGAACAGACCCATAAGATGTGATGTCGTCTCTCCGCTCTCGTTCATGAGCTGTTGGCCATCGGATCGGACGGCGATGAGAAAGGAGTAAATGCTCATGGACCTGGGGGTTCTGTTAGCAAGGGCGAGCTACAGGGTTTCGATGGCGAGCCTACGCATCCTGCTCTCAGTTAGGGGGCTTCCAAATGACTTGGCGATTGGACTGTACTTACAATGGCAACTTTGCGACCAAAGTGCGCCTTGATCTCTCCCTCCTTGATCGCATCGGGAGCTTCCTCCTTGATGATCTGGAAGAGATGCTTGATACCCATTTCGCCGAACTGCCAATGGGCGTTTGCGATTATTGGACGAGAAGACTTGTTTGATCGGTCGCGGGATTGAGGAGTGTTTCGAGTAGTAGGACAGAGATGGTAGATTGTTCTTTGCGTGAAGGTTGAAGAAAGAATGCAGTAAAGGCAGCAGTCGTGAATTGGTGGGGGATGACGACTGGGGGCTGGCAGGAAAGGAAGGGTCGAGCACGACGTCGACGCGCCTGCACCTTCTTCGCTGAGGTCATGACGCGCCTTCCATCGCGCAGCCCCACCACGCGTTTAATTGACTGGCAGTGCTGGCAGCTGGTGTCCACTGGCAACTGGGGAGGTAGGTCCCGGTCTCCGAGTCGGCGGTCACAGTCTATCAAACTCGTCTCAAAGGTCCATCCTGCTTTGCAGAGGTCGGTTTTCACGAGCTTTTCCCTTGGGATTGGAGTATATTTTCTGATACTACACTTCCTGTAAGCCAGCTCAAGTCAGGCTCATCGAAGGCAATGCTTGACCGGCCTGTCTCGGGGGTTGATTGCTTCTGATAGATCGGATCTTGAAAAAGGTGTCGTTGCACCGTTACTGATTCGCTGACTGCTCTTCTTTCAGAAAAAGCTACTCATTCATCCCCAGGCTGCATTCAGTCTGGAGCTCAGAACAAGAATGAATGCAGACATATCAATGGCAGCCCGGTAAAGCCAACAATGCGACGTGTTGCAACAGACCCGCCAGTGACACCGAATGGAACATTTTGACCTCTCAACCACTTAAACCGGCTGACAAGAGCCTCTCACAACAACCCTAGAGTCGGACAAACAGGCCTCAGCCGCACACGATGAAAACGTCAGCAGAGGCTGCGCTGGCAATGCATGTCAGCCATTAGGAAGCCTGATCCAAGTTGGGGGCCAGAAGCGAATTAACCCCCGCCAGACCTGCAGCCCGCTAGCGTCACATCCAATTGCTCAGCCCTAACAGCGACAACTCCTCACGAGAGGTTGCCGCCTAGAGACCATGGACTGTGGTCATCATCATGGCCTCACATTAAGTGTTGGAGCCTGATATGGGCGGTGTGATACTTTCTGCCATGCTTCTATGTAGCAATCGACAGTTCTCAACGGAATCAGCGCTTCAACCTCACCTGTCATCAGCTGCCGCGGATACTGAGGAGGCGAGGAAATATCGCGATTGTGCCACCCGTGGCTTGTCATCCACCGTGCCTTCGCCATGATCATCCCTAGCCTCGACGTTGTTTACCCAATTCACATGAACCATGTGCCGCCAGGATGGAGACCTCTCGTGAAGTGAGAATTCGTAGAACCCTCTGAAGAGTCTTGTTTGAGCTTACACACGGCAGTCTGATATGTGTTCATGACCTGGGCGGGTCCCCCAAGTCAAGCTGGCATCATGATGAATCTGGCAAAACCTGGATCTCAGACCCCGACTTTCTCGGGAGTTTCAAGGATTCAGTTCGCGTCTGGACTTATGGATACAACTCAGACCCGGCGGCAAACATGACGCCCGCGAGCATCGCGCTCCATGCCGACGAGCTCTTGATATCAATGATATCTAATTACAGCAAATACACTGTTGGTCAAATCTTTCAGCAACTCTCAATGGATGCATGACACTAATGCGAGCGTTACCAGGGCGGCTCTACTGTTTTCATTGCCCATGGGCTTGGAGGGATCATCGTCAAAAAGGTATGTTGTGAGCTGCACTTGTTACCAGACTTTGAAACTCAACTTCAATTACCTCCAGGCAATTGAGCTTTGCTCGACGTATGCAGAATACTTCCCCATCAAAGGGTCCACTGTCGGTGTCGTCTTTCTCGACACGGTTCACCATGCAACAGACTCCGAGGGAGTCCTGGAAGCTGTAAAAACAACAGTCGCAGCGACTCTGCTCAAGCACTCCACAAGACCGTCTCTTGACGATGTCAGACAGTTTGCAGAAGCAGTTCGAGAAGTCAACAAGACCTTTCTCACGCAGGCGCCATTAGACTTGACAATTCTCAACTTCATTGCCCTGCGTCGAATTGAAATCACGTCCGAGGATGGTACAAGCTACAAGACTTTGGTGAGAGAGCGTTCTTCTTTTTCCATGGCTCTTGCGGACTAGGAACTTATCAGTGGACTAGCTTGTGCCTAAACGACGGGCCGATATGGATCCAACGCAGGGCCAGAACTTGCCGGTAGCTTGCCATCACTTCCAGTTAACGCAGTTCCCATCCCCTTCAGATAAGATATACAGCCTATTGGCAGATCAGGTTGGCGATATGATGACAAAGCTATCGTCTTCAAGCAACAAACGAGTGTTCTGCGCGCCGCCACCCCCATTGGCACCCACAACAGCCAATCCCCCGCCCCCTTCACCACCTCCTGGTCCTCCTGGGCCTCCAGGCCCGCCGGGCCCGCCAGGTAACAATGGCACATGAAAATTAATTGAGTAAAGACAAACTGACGGTTACTCATAGGGCCCCCAGTGTCTCTGCCGCCGCCACCACGAAGTGGGATCCCCATGGGCCCACCACCGCGAGATCAGGCCAACGAAGCATTCAGTTTGTGGGCTAAGAAGAAAGAAGCCGGTAGGCATGACCTCTTCTCATCTCAATCAAATGTTTTCTCGACGAGGAATCTGTGATTTAACCTATATCTAGCCGACAAAAAAAGGCACCGAGATATCCTTGTCAACAAACTTGGCCAATGGGACGAGCATCATCTCGGACACGATATACATCCGACACCAGATACTTGTACCTGGATACAGTCCCACGACTTCTTCAAAAACTGGATCAAGTCCAACAAGACCGCGGGTCTTTTCGTCCAGGGCGCCACGGGATGCGGTAAAACTCACTTGGCCAAATCCATCGCCAACCACCTATCCTGGGATCGGCCTCGATCTCCCCCAGATAACAATATAGTGCTCTCATTCTTTTGCAACGCCAGCACTGTTAGGGACAAGAAGCCACCAATCGCCCAGTACTTTGTCCGATCGCTTCTTCAACTGAGGCCAGTCTGGTCCGAGTCTATAGCGCCTTACTATCGATGGCAGGAGCTAAAAAGCCACTTCGAGTTACCGGCGCTGTTTGACATCCTACGCGACATCATGAGCCAGATGCAGTATAGTACGGGTCCACCGAAAACAACGGCCGTTTTCCTCATCGTGGATGGTCTGGATGACTGTGATGTTACCTATGCCCGGGAGTTCCTCTGCCTTGTGGGAAGTCTACTCGACCACCCGGTGGCTCGCTCATCCCCACCATCTGGTCTGTCCCTTCCAGGACAAGGCTTCCCACGCGAAACTGTCAGGTTCAAGTTCTTGTTCACGTATAGCGCTTGCGAGGTCTTGAATCTGAACTCCTGCATACCTAATTCCGCTAGGATTCTGATGACTGACGCAGCAATTCGCAAAGATATTAGTACTTACGTGGAGAGGGAGTTGGACATCCTGTCTACGCTTCGGGACCTCAATGGACCGCCAGAGGGAATTCGATCTTGGATCAAGAATAAGTCGGAGTCGTTCTTTTGGTTCGCAAAGTACTCCATCGAAGACGCCATGAGTACGGTCGAAGATGGTGAGGGGTATTCCTTCAGTGCGAGAGTATTTCCGTGCCCTTCTAGCCTTGGGAAATACTACGACAGAGATCTCCTACCATTGTTCCAAACAATCGACGAGGATAGGAAATATGCTCTGTCAGCTCTGCAAATCGTACTCGGCTATCTTGGTAGCCCCGGCAGAGCCGAAATATGCGATGCAATCGCTTGTCTTCACGGAGACCCCAACTTGAGATTCCTCGACCTCCCCAACTTCTTGAGACAACGGTGCCCCAGGCTCATTCATTCTTTGGATGAAGGGGATTTCAAGATCAGTCATTCTTCTCTGATTCACCACGTCAGACGTTCCTACCTCAGCGAGAAAGAGCAGCACGCAAACATGGCATTCCTGTGCATAAAGTACCTCTCCAGATCTGACTTTGGAAGCTTCAAATCGATTATGTCTCCCAACATCCCAGAAAGTCACCCGTTCTACTCATATGCGGCAGACAACTGGAGAGAACATCTCCGTCGTGCGGGCGACAAAGTGGTCAGACTGCTCCCTCTGCTGGGCGATTTCGTCAACTCTGCGAACTACAGAACCTGGTCAGCGCATCACTCCTGGAATATTGCAATGACATATTATCGGAGGGTTCTGATGGATGACACCTTCGTCTCTCCCGTTTTTGCATTCATTGATGCTAATGTTGGCCATCTAAGCCACGAAATTCAATGTGCAGGGAGGGAAGAGGTGTGGTCATTGAAGAAAGAGCTTCTCAGGCAGACATGGTGTTACCTGTACGAGCGTAAACAGACTCCCGGAATCGCCAGACTCATTGAATATTGGAGGCCCGATTCTTGTTTCGCGGTCCACGACATCGACGGCCATACTCCTCTGATGCATGCAGCAGGCTCATCAAAAGGACAACCCAAAATGGTCGAGTACTTCCTCAAGCGGACCAAAAACGTCAACGAGCGAGGCTCGGTGAGCGGTGGAACTGCTTTGATGATCTTATGCACCCGGCTGAAAACGCGCGATGAAGACCTAACGGCACGCTTGGTCACGTCACTCCTCGATGCCGGGGCTGATCCGAATATCTCGAATAAATGGGGCGAAACGCCCTTACTCGAGTCTTGCATGAGAGGGAATGCTGCCATGGTCGAGCTGCTCCTCCGAGCGGGGGCCAGGCCTGACATGTTAAGCACACACGGGCTAATCATACATCCTCTCCGCGATGCAATCATGCAATATCACAATAAGGTTGCTCGGCTCTTGATTGACTACGGAGTCGATCTGAGCTTGTATTTTCCGTGGCCGAACCTTCAATTACCCCTCACAGCTTCCATCACCGAAGAAAACTTCGACATCTTTATGCTCCTGTTGAACAGGGTCGAAGATATCAACCAGCTAGATGGTATGGGGTACGCTGCGATTCATCTGTTGACCGGCCCGCTGTACATCGATTGGCTACCGCATCT